TGCCACACCCTACTTACAAGGGAAAGGAGGCTGAGGCAGAGGAAGCCAGAGGTGCAGGCCTCACCTCAGCACAGGCCTTCAGTGAAAGACCTAGCCAGGCAGAGCTGGAAATTGGAAGGAAACACTGGATAACATGGGCACTGGCAACATGGGGGCATGTGCTTCTATAATTAATCACTGCCTCCCTTCCTTCCCACACCAGGCACCTTTGACCCCACATGCCCACGGGTTCCCTTCTGCCACTAAAAGGTGTTAAGTTATTAACAGGAAAACACAAAAATCAGAACCCGATTAGAGAAATATAGATATGAAGGAACATAAGACTGCATTGGAGTGGTAATAGCTAACTAACACTTCTGTCCTGCTTACACTATGCCAGGCACTATTCTAAGTGCTTGATATATATGATCTCATTTCATCTTCATGTGCCCAAGATCACACAGCTAATAAGAGGCAGAGCTGGGATCCCAGCACAGACACTCTAGTTACAGAGTCTTCACTAGTAGATATTATGCTACTTTTGAGTGGTCGGAGAATATCTTGCCTGGAGAAGAAAAAATTCCAGGTTGGTGCTGTGAACTGAATGTTTGTGTCCTCCAAGACTCATATGTTAAAACTCTAATCCTCAATGTGATTGTACAATGGGACCTTCGGGAGGTATTTAGATCCTGAAGGTAGAGCCCTCACAAATGGGATTAGTGTGCTTATAAGAAGAGACTCGTGCAAAGATGATCTCTCTTTCTGACACTTGAAGACACATTGAGAAGCCAGCCATCTGCAAATCAGGGAGAGAGCCCTCACTGAGATCCCAACTGTGCTGACACCCTGATCGCAAACTTCCAGCCTCTATCTCTACTCTTTGTGGTTACCCATAAAATTTTACCTTGCATATTTAGCAAAGACTACAAACAGTATCTTGAACCTCTCACCAATAGATCTCAAACTTCCAGCCTCCGGAACTGGGAGAAATGTTCGTTGTTGAGAAATGTTAAGCCACCCAGTCGATGGCATTTGTTATAACAGTCCAAACTGATTAAGATAAGTTGAGAAAAACTGGGTTGTCTTCAAGTATTTGAAGGGCCATAATGGAAGAAGGGTTAAACTTATTCTGTATGGACCAAAGAGATTACAGTTAATAAAGTGACTCTTTTTGGCCTTCTTTGTAACAGCCAGAGGTCTCCAAAGAAGAAATGGGCTTTCTCAGGGGTGCTGATTTCTTTATCACCAGAGGCTAACTGCACAGTGTTAATATGGAGAGGATTTCTGCATTGAATGGGTGGTTGGATGAGACTCCATAAAAATCTCTCCCCACTTGAGAGTCTATACGACCATGAGAGTCGGGGCTAAGAGCTCAGATCCATAGGACCGGATGTTGAAGACTCTTATGTTTTAAAGCAGCCACATTTTCCACTTAGCTCTGTTCCTGAGCATCTTGAAGCCAGATTTGCATTTGTGTATTTTAAGACTCTACACACCTGGATACGCTTCCCCTCAGACATTAGCTTAGGCATCACTTCCTCCAGGATGTGTACCTCACCCCACCTGTGACACCAGCTTAAGTGCCCTCCCCCCATTTCTCCCCCAGACCATGCCACTTCCCACACTCTACCAAATAGTCTATTTCATCATCAATCAGTGTTCGTATTAGTTTCCTAAGGCTGAAGTAGCAAAGCCACAAATGGGGTGGCTTAAAACAACAGAAATTTATTGTCTCACAGTTCTGGAGACTAGAAATCCAAAATCAAGGCGTCAGCAGGGCCAGGTTCCCTCTGAAGGCTCTAGGGGAGCCTCCTTCATTGCCTCTCCCTAGCTTCTGGTGGTTGCTGGCAGTCCTTGTTGTTCCTTAGGTTGAGGTTGTATCGCTCAAATTTCTGCCTCTGTGTTCACACGGCCTTCTCCCCTCTGTGCCTGTGTCTCTCTCCTCTTCTTGTAAAAACACCAGCCAAGTTGTATTTAGGGCCCACCCTACTCCAGTCTGACTTCATCTTAATTTAACTAGAACATCTTCAAAGTTTCTATGTCCAAATCAGGTCATGTCCACAGGTACTGAGTGTTAGGACTTTGGTATATTTTTCGGGGGACATGATTCAACTGCCAATCTCCCCCAACTTCCCATGTTCACTAGACTTACAGGCTTAAAGGACTGTATGTTTATGCCACATATTTCTATTGTGTTGACTATGAACCACACTCTGACCCGGGCACTGAAGACAAGTCACAGTCAGGGTCCCGACCCTCGGTTGCACTTCAATTCTATATGCAAGAGATGGTAAAAAAGTGGCCATTCAATACTGAAGCCAAATGCCAAGCAATGTAGAAAGATAGGCAGGTAGGTAGATAAATAGATGATAGATAGATGATAGATAGATGATAGATTAGATAGATAGATACTATATTTAATATATATTTTATGAAGGATATTAATGGAAACAGTAAAAAACAAAGGATAAAGTATTCCCTTTCACCTAGCTAGTGCTTTATGGTATGTTTACCAGAATCTAAAACGTGGGCTTTTCTTCGCCCCTTGTAAAACTCTGTTCTCTGGTACTTACATTCTTACTCTCAGTTGACTCCCACCACTCTAACCTCCCAAATAGCATTTCTTGGTATCAGAAAATAAAGCTTATAAAATATATTCCTGATCTTTTTTCTAATCCAAATGTGCAACTAAAGAAGAAAACACTCGCTGTCTTTGCCTTCCAGGGCAGTGTCAGTTCCTCTCAGTCTCCATTTGTCCAGATGCCAGGTGAGTACTTCAGTTCAACGAGCGATTCATCCATTCCCTTTCCAGTTTCAATAGGGCATCTGGGCTTCTGTTCTTTAATAACTGTCTTACAGCACATTTAAAATGTTGTCTCTTTAAAATAGTTGTTTTTAAAATATCAAATCAGTGAAGACAGACCTAATTCAACCATTCCTGAATTTAGAATTCCTTCTGTCTTGAAGGCTGCCTTTTGACCACCTGCCTAGCAGAAGCTTATTGGGCAAAATAAGTGTTTGGCCCTTGACACAATTTTAGAATGTCTAAAATTCTGGCACCATGATCTGATGGATTGTGCACCTGCTTTAGCACACAAGCAGAGAGACCTGTGGGCAGATGGGGAAACTAACATTTATTGATCTCTATATGGCAGGCACTGAGTTAAGCATCTTGTATTCATTTCAGTGCATGTGTCATGAAATACTCCTATGGGGATACAAAGGGAGCATCTTAATCATGGTGATGGGCACTCTCATACATGCACACACACACATTCCTTCCAGATCCCAAACTCAGAAGTGGCATAGTGTTTCTCAATAATTTTAGTACCCTTCAGAGGTGGGTAGGGAAAGGAATAAGAGCAGTAGAAGGTCCACATGTCTGAATCCCAATCACATTTACTGCCACTGGATTCTGATCCTTTTTATAGAAGAAAAAGTTATGTAGCTTCTCTTAACACCTACAATTATTCTTTCTCTTTTTAAGGAGAAAAAATATATATGCTCAAGAGAGCAGAGGGTTTTTCCCTTGTGGTTGTTTTTATTTGAAAATTAGAAATACAGATATAAGACCCTGGGAGCCATGTACATAGTCTCGGTTCTGTTCTCAGCCTTAGCCACTCCCTTGGATATAACTTTGTGGTGTGAAACAGAACCTTATGTGTTGATACTGATTTTCATTTGCTCCAGTTTTTTTCTAGGGAAATCTGCTTATGATAAGACCCCTAACTGCAGCTTTCAAATTCATGAGCAGATTAGAAATTCAGGGCTATAAATTTTAAGATGAAAGGGGAGTTAGTAGAATCGTGCTGTTTCTACAAGGGCTTTTTATTTCTTCTGGATAAATGAATAGGTTTACATGTAATTGTTGAACACAGTAATCAAATAATGTGTTTACAGAAAATGTATAAAACGTAAGTTCTGCCCCATGGAGCTTGTAGGAAAGAGGGCTGTAGCTCAGGTGAAGGAGTAGTGAGCACAACATGAAGTGCCACACCATGTGACAAAGGCCGAAGTGCTGTGTGTGTGTGTGTGTGTGTGTGTGTGTGTGTGTGTGTGTAGACCAGCATACGACTGAGTCATGATCCAAAGGACAGTCTGACTTCTCTCTCTGCAGAAGAGTGGGTGGGGTGGGCAGGGGCGAAGCTCAAAAGTGGTCCACTGTGGGTGGGGCAAGGTCAAGCATCTGCATCTTCGCCCCAGCTCAGCCCTTTGTGGCCTCTAGGTGTAGGTCTTAGCTAATGAGCACACCCACCACCAGCTGGAAACAATCCGTTTTAGGCATTCTAAACGGCAAAGTGTTTCCCACTACAACTGAGCTACAGCATCAGAAAGTTAGCCAACACACCTCTTCCCTTCTGGGTTCATTTCACTCACCTTTAACCTTAAATACGACTCTTCCCTTTTCAGCTTCTTCCCTTGTTTTCTCCAAGGGAAACTTTCTGGACCAGGCCTTGGCTTCCACACTTGCAGTGCCCACACCATGGCCACGAGAGGGCAGCAAATAACACGGGTCTCCTCAAACCCAGGAAATCGTTTTTTTGTGGTCCTTCCCCTAACCTGGCTTCATGGGAGCCATATCACTCCAAAGCAAGCAGGCCAGGCCTGCTAGGTGCTAGACTGGGGGTTAAAAGTCAGTCAGCATGCAAAGGGTTAGGAGAAGAATACTCCTGCCTCGGGTTTGGGGTGGGGTCACAGCATCACCTGATCTAGAGACGCTGAATCTCAGACAATGTGCCCAGAAGCAGCCTCCTGTTACTGGTCCAGCGTGTGAGGACTGAGCGCAGAAGCTGTGGGAAAGATGCTTCATCCTATAGAATGAAAATGCCAACTTACGTAAAAGCCCAACCCCTCCCTAGCACAGTGCCTGACACATAGAAGGTGCACAATCAATACGTGCTGAGTGAATGACCTTGGTTATTGCACCGCCCAAACTGAACTCATGCCCAAAGGCAGAGTGCACTTTCTTAAACACAAAGTTATTTGCGCTGGGCCATACAAAAACGGTAACGCCACAGTATTCAGCACCCTCAAGACACATCTGTTGAAATGCTAGCGGTGGGGTGAGGCATGTGTGAGTGACACCATTTCACAGGTGGAAAAGCTCGGTTACAACAGAGATGGCCTTGACTCTCCCAAGAGGAAAAGTTTGCTTGTTTGCTTTCCATGTGCCAACAGGTTCACCGGTCATGTCAGGTTACTACGGAGTCAGAAGATCTTTTCTAGCTGACTCCGACTTCCACAGCACCAAACAATTTGCAAACGACGTCTGCCCCTCCAGCGCGGCGAAGCCCTTTCCCTGCGAGTCGGCGGGGCAGAGCCACCCCGCGCTCCTGGATTCCTACTTCCCCGAGCCCTATGGGGACCACCGGCCCCCGGCCCTGGCCCCCAGCGGCCCGCTGTTCGGCGCCTCGCCCCTGCCGCCGCTCCTGCCTCCGCCCTTCCCCAGCGACCCCACGCACTTCGTGCTGGTGAGTGGGCAGCTGTTTCCCGGGGGGCAGGGAGGAAGATCAGGGCTCCGGTGGTCCCGCCAGCCCAAGGGCTGGGCACCAGGCTGAAGCCCGGTGTGGTCGCCCTGGAGACCCCTGAGGCTGTTCTGCACCTGCCCCGGAGATGCCAGGACAGACCTCTGGCCTGGGCACTCTCTCCCAAGGGGCCTTCCTCCAAGATCCTTGCCACCCAGGCCAGCAGGATGGTCTGTCCTTGGGCCCAGGGGACTAGCAAAGCAGGATTTCTAGTTATTTTGTTAAGACTCTACTGGTTTGGCCAGATGTTCTCCCGTCGTTCCTCCAGCGCAAGGAAAGAGCCCAGCAGTTACATCTCAGACCAGGCTAGGCTGGGGCCTCCCAAGGGGATGCATCCTGCCTGCCCTTACCCCCACACCTCCCCACACACACACACACTCACCCCTCCCCTCCCCACAACACTCTACCATGTAGAACCTTGTTGTCTCTCAATCCTGCCAAAGACAAGTTCATAAAGATGGATCAGAACACTAACACCCTCCTTATAGAAAACTCTGAAGCCTTCAACCTCAAAGGAGTGAATCTCTCTAAAGATGGAATTTTAGACAAAAGGGGGTGGGGATTAACATTTCCTAGCAACCTGCTCCAGCCAGGAACTTCTCTGTGCCTTTGCTCATTTACTCCTTGCAACATCCCAGGGTATAGTTATTAAAGCCCATTTCACAGACAAACAAAGTGAGAGCTCAGTCAGGAACCTAGTAAGTGCCAAGCCGTGAGTTGAACTCACAGTCTTCCCAGCCCCGAGCCAATGAGATTCCCACCTCTTTGCTCAGCAGGGCCGGTGGCTCCCGGCCCACTCACAAGCCAGCCCGTTTAGGGGAGCACTGCACTGCTCCCAGGAGCCGCTGGGCCACTGCCCACGGTGGAGGGGGCACCTAGGACACTGCGTGCTGTGAGGCTCAGAAAGAACGCACGACCCGGTGCGCCGTCCGTGTCAAAATGCTGGATAAATGTGTTTTCTCATTCTCACATTTCACTCACTTAATGTTGTTCTCTGCAAAAGGAACCTTAACATATCCTGGGAACCTAATTCTGGAGTAAGAAGGGAACTAAAACTGTCACTGCTGGTGTCCGTTGCCGGGGGAAAGCTGCCAGCTAAGGAGGCTCCGGACAGGGGGGGCACCAAGCCCCCTCTGGGGGTCGTGGTCCAGCAGGAGCCCATGTTGGGAAGAAGTCTGTCCACATCAGAGTGTCGTGTAATGACTAACCTTGGTGGCCTTTCCATTCTCCTCAGAGAGACTCCTGGGAACAGACAGTGCCGGATGGTCTCAGCCAGCTCGACCCTGTGTCCACCGACGCCTTGCCACCCAGCACGAGCTGCCTCTCCCAGCTGGAGTCGGGGAGCACCACCCAGCACAGGAGCTCGAGCTGGGGTCCCCCCCTGGCTGGGGCCCAGTCCTATTCGTTGCACACACTGGAGGATCTGTACCACACACCAGGGTACCCCACCCCGCCCCCATATCCCTTCACCCCTTTCACGACAGTGTCCAACGACCTACCACCCAAGGTGGTGCCCCTCTCCCCAGACGAGGGGGCAGATGCCTCTGCCCTTCAGGACCCTTCTCCATGGACCAAAGAAGATGGGAGCATGGTGTGGGGGTCATACGAGTGCCGCAGGGCTTACTGAGGGGTGCACCAAAGAACGTCTCTGCTTTTCCTTAACTTGGGCTCTGTACTCCACAGATTGGTTTTGGTGTGGAGCTCACTCAGAACTGGGCTTTCAAGATAAGCCATCACAACCCTTTCCTAATGGACAATGGCGGTTATTTGTAATGTTCCCCAACTTATCAGGGGCCAGATTCTAAAGAGACAACCTGAAGTCTTTGGGAACTTCAGTAACCCATTGAACTCTGAATCTTCTGTTATCTTTGGAATACCATTTTGGCACTGATTTTTTTTTATTTTTTTTTTTGTCCTTAAATTACATTAAAAAGTTTATGCAGATCCATAAAACATACTGATTTTCCGGTCAATTTTCCTTAGTTATGAACTATGTGTGTTTAGTAAAGAGAATTCATAGGGTACAATGTGGATTAGGGAACATAAAACAAACCTCATTTTATCTTATGTGACTTTAAAGCACTCTCCATACAGTGGCCTGTAAAAGCCCAGTAACAAATATGTCACCATATATGAATGCTTTATTGTCATTAAAACAGGAAGAGGTCAGGAGACTATGGCTTCATAAATATATAGCTTTGACTTTTCCCTAAAGCTCAGGATGTCCAAAAATTAGGCTATTTCATAAAACAATAAAGACCAAAATTTATTTTGATCAGTGGTTGCTGCCATTTAGCTAGACATTGTCCCTCTGATGGAACAACCCTATGGTTATCAGAGTGGATTACTAAGACGGACATTCTGTGATCAAATTAGAACAAGTGCATTGTTAAGAAAACACAGAGAGCAGGACTGAGCTGTGGGCAAGAAACAACAGACCACAGGACACCAAGAGGCAAAGGGACTTTGAAAGACATACCGTCAGTAGCATTACATACATCTCCCATTGAAAGGAAGACCTTGTTAATCACTCATTGGTCAGAACTGTACAGCTCTTACTGTGTATAAATGAAGAAACTGACATCTGAAGCAGTCATCTGTCTCATGAAAGTTTGATTGGCATGGATTCCTTTGCCAGTTAAGTTCCCAGAGTCATTTCCACCAAGCAGTGTGCCTGTCTGCAGGCCAAGGCCACCTGAATGCCTGCACACACTTTGACTTTGCAATGCATGAATCAAGGCTACAGATTACACCCATACTCTTCCTCTTATCTTCTTACCGCCTTCTTTTATTCTCTTAACACATTTTCTGACCTGTCTGGTCCCTCCTGACCCAATGCATTTTTCCTCCACCTCCCTAGGGGTCCAGTGCTCTCATTTTCCACCTGGTTGCCCAAAGCCACTCAAAAGTCTCCATCACGCCCCCTGTGACAGTATGCCATGTTCTACCTCAGCTAGGTAGGAGTCCAGAAAATCAAATAAAGTTAGAAGTGAATAACTGATCTTCCTCCTTCTCCAGGCCTTCAAAACTATTTCCTGGTTAAGCACACACTCCTAATATATGGAGTACCTGTTGCAATGCTTGGATAGAGCAACTTTCTTTACCTCACAACCCTCAGCACCCCCTGCAAGAGCATCGCTGCAGGAGCAGATCTAGAGCATTGGTGGTCCTCGGCTGTTGAGCTGCACTCTCCCAGGTCCCCTGCCCCACTCCTTCCCTCCTGCCCTCTTTTTCACCCCCTGATCTTTACTTTGCTTAATATTTGCCCTTCGATGGATTTGGGACAACTTCTACTGTGGGAGAGATAGCTGCTCTTTAAGTCCACTGAGACTTAAGACTTCAGTCCTGGTTTGCAGTATCCTTGGTGGAGGCATCTGTCATCCAGCGTCACTCATACCTGGACAGCAGGACCCTGCATCAGAAAAAAGAGCTCTAGCCTTCTCTGTAGATTTAGGGATCTTCACCAGTCTCTCAGTCATTTTTTTAGATTGACTGTATAAAATTTATAATAATTACAGTCATCTGTTTACTATCTGTTAAGCAACCCACACAATAATGGCTGTGTAAATCATGTCTCCACATGACTCTAACTTTTGTTTGATTATAATACCAAATGGTAGGCATGCTCACTTCTCTTAGTTCACTGTCACCTTCTCACGTACCATGTTCATCTCTTCACAACCTGAGGACGCATTGGCTCTCAGATAAGTACAGGTCAGCAAACAATGGTATCTAGATTCTTCGTCAACCATCCAAGCCCTTCCATAGTATTTGACAAAATTAACTTATAGAGAAGGCGACATACACAGACCCATACTCTACCTAGAATCCATTTAAGTGGCCTAGACTAAAGGAGGTGGGGGGCAGAGTGGTTCTAATAATCCCACATGGTAAATGATTTTTCAGAATTCTATGCAGCTTGACAATGTGCATCTATACTACATCTACTTAAATTGGTTCTCTTTTATTGTTCTAGGAATTTACAACACTTTGTTAAAAAGTGAAACCAAGCTATAAAATTCTGACAGGGAAATGAATTCTATTTCCCGATTCCATTTCCCATCCGAGTCTCTCCATTTCCCACTTCATGCCAGGGACTAGCTGCGTCTTTTCATAATAATGTGCAGTGTCAACATAAGAAAAAAATGCACCTTCTGCTTCCCTCTCCTTCCTTGAACTCTCTGTGCTCCCACTCGGAGCTTTCCTGGGAAAGCCAGAGAAAACTAGAGAGCTCAGGTTCAAAACATCATCTCTTTCAGGGCCTTTAAGATTAAGCAGAGATGCCCCGGCCAGTGTGGCTCAGTTGGTGGGACGTCGGCTCATGCACTGAAAGGTCACTGGTTCGATTCTGGGTCGGGGCACATGCCTGGGTTGTGGGCTGGATCCCCCGGAGGGGGAGTGCAGGAGGCAGACGAGCTCTGTTATGCTCTGGCATTGATGTTTCTCTCTTGTGCTTCTCTCCCTTCCTCTCTCTCTAAAATCAATTTAAAAAATTATTTAAAAGATCAGACAGAGGTGGTGATGTCAAGGTCATGCTACTTAAGAAAGTTTACTAGATGATAATGTTAAAAAGAAGTTGAAACCAAAATTTGCTTATGCAAAAGCTGCAATATAGACAATCTTCCCATCAATGACTGGAAACAGCCGTGATAGTAGTAGTTGAAAGTGTTTGTCTCTTACAATGTTATACAAATCCTAAAAATGAAAGAAGAAAACCACAGCTTTACCTCACTTACTTAATAAATGCTCTTAAATGAGCATTAGGGCTTGCTGCAGCTCACTTAAAAGCACCCTGTGATGGTACCATGTGGTAGGGGAAGAAGTACTCTAGTACTTCAGTACTTCTAGGACTTCATTACTCAAGTACACTGCAAGAAATTCCACGAAAGGAAAGAGTTACTAACCCCAATAGTAAAATACACATTTACTTACACACATACATTATATAAATAAAAGTATTACCAGTAGCTTTGTGACCACTGTTCAGTATGTAAATCTAAATAATACAGTCATAAGAAGTGAGGCATTAGTTATATTTAAAGAACTGAAATAAAACAAACATATTCAAAGATATAGGGAATAAACTGATGGTTGGCGGGGAGTGAGGAGGTGAGGGGGAATGGAAGGAAAGGGTGAAGGAAAATAGGAAGTACAAACTCCCAGTTATAAAATAAGTAAGCCACAAGGGCATAAACCTAGGGGAAATAGTCAATAATATTGTAATAACTTCATATGGTGACAGATGGTTACTAGACTTACTGAGGTGATCACACCATACGGAATATAAATGATGAATCACTATATTGTACACCTGACACTAATATAATATCGAATGCCAACTATACTTTAATATAATATGCCAACTGTAATTTTAAAAAGTTACTGAAATAACAATTGATGTCCTAGGTTTAAGTCACTTTACAGTGATTCAGCCAACCACACACCAAAATTATGTCCCTTCTTTAGGTTCTGTACTGGGTTCTGTATCAAGTATCATCTCCATTCAAAGCAACAGGACACTGTTCCTCTTGTCCACCACATTCAATAACTATCGACTCCAGAGAGCTTACGTGCAAAATCCTCCGCTCCAGCTAAAGAGTGATTCTCTGACTAGCCTGGTCACTGTCAGGGCTCATGAGTGGCTCAGCATCCGACTTAGTGCCCAGCATGTTGTAGCCCCTCAGGAAAATCTTTGTTAAATTAAACTAAGATTATGCCACAAAGGTGGGTGACAACTCTCTGAGACACCTCTTCACTGTGTTCAGTATTTCACATTGGCCTTGCTCTCTCCAAATGCTGACAGTAGTGGATATTGGGTTTTAGTGGTAATATACTTTAAATAATCTAGCATCTTTAAATGCCCCTAAGAATACTACTGAAGATTTGAAGTAGAATACAAAAAAAAGGTTTATATAGTCATTCTGTATCTGTATGTACTATAATGTTAAGAAGTCTTATAAGTAAAAGTTATTCAATGTTTGGTATTATCTACAACATGGTTAAAGCAAATAGGGAGCTTGAATCCCCAAAGATCAGACTAAATAAATAGTGAGAAAATCTTTATAATTATCGGTAAATGACGATGCCATGTTATCTTTGGTATTTGACATAGAAGTGTCCTCTAATCGTAACCAATAAAAAAAGGTATGGATTTGCAATATGCAATATCATGGTCAGTACACTGCAAGCCAAGAGGAGAGAACTGTAAAACATTTTACAAGTTCCAAAAGGGGAAAAAAATATGGATGAAACAAATAATGCCTAAGAATTAGCTCTTCTGCTTTAGGAAAATTGGCACATGTCCCTGTTAACCTTCCCCCTAACTAAGTATCTTGAGTGGACTAATCCAAAAGTTTAACACTTAATGAATTAATTTGGTCATAAATGAAAGATCACACAACAGTGCTAGGTCTTAACCTTGGTAAGATGTTCATAGGGTTTTATAATGGTAATCTTTAGATATGTTTTTGTATGACATATATTGCATAATAAAAATGTTTTAAGTAAAAGATGAACTTTTCAAGCAGTGTCTGGTGGTATTTTTCTCATTTAAATGATAAGTTATCAAATGCTCATTCCCCATGGCAGCCTCTGAAGGAAAAGTTAAAATATGCTTATAAAAGTTGGAATATGCTTTTGGGGAAGAGAAAGACTTACCACAAATCATTAAATAACCTCTAGCTAACAGTCTTCCTGGTCATTTTCATAGGGACCAAACATTCACTCTGGGTCCAGTAACTGCTTATTTCCTCCATGTTTTTGGAACTTGATATTTCCCACAAGGTTAGGTAACAGTGTCCTAAAGTCAAAATGACAAAAGAACTTTGCATTGATAGAATTTAGAACTGTAGTCAAATTTGGAGGGAATAAACACCCCTTTTCCTTGTAATGAAAGTCTTTTCATATCCATGTCTAAATTCAATCTCCTACTTTGGGGGAAAATATTATGCTCTGCAGGGTCATTTGCATACGAAAGACTGCCAAAAATTCAGTTAAAATAGTTAATTTGAAACTTTAAAAAGAAACATATTCTATTCCCATTATTCTGAATGCTGAGTGACTTTAAGAAGGTCAATGACAAACTAAAGGGTTTCTGAGCTCAGTGGTCCAGAGATCTGGAAAACTATAATATATGAAGCACTAGAGAAACTACAGGTGGGGGGCCTCAAAATGAAACGCCTTGGGTGGGGGGTGGGCATAACTTCTTCAGACTTACCACAGAGTAGACCATCAGTATGAGCTTGTTGAATGAATGAATGAATGAATGAATGAATGAATGAATGAATGAGTGAACCAACCAAAGAATGACCAAACAAACCCCTAGTGGAGAAGGAGTGTGGAAGCGGGAAAAAGTTATTCCATGTTACTGGTTCACAGAGTAGATGATAACAGAAAGCAGGACTTACTCACCTTTGCATTCCTGGTACTTGGTATCGTGCCTGGTACATAGTTGGTGCTCCGGTAATACCTACTTGACTTTTGGCTCAATCAATGATCATTATATTTAAAGCAGTCTAATAGTGGAACAGGCTGCCTGATAAATAGTGAGCATCCACTTCCTCAGTGCACGGCTACTGCGGGCCAGCAGCCCTGCAAGCAATGGAGGGAGCCCGAGGATGGACAACCACCTGAAATCAATTGGCAAAAGACTCAGCCTCTCAGCGCCGCAGAGACCCCTTCCAATGTCCAAACATCAGGACCCTGTGTCATATTTTTAAGTGAGCCTGTTAAAGCCTGATGAAACACCACAATATTTTCAGCCCTGTATTAAGACCCCAAAATGATGATNCAAGTGAGCCTGTTACAGCCTGTTGAAACACCACAATATTTTCAGCCCTGTATTAAGACCCCAAAATGATGATCAGGGAACCCTAGAGGTGGCAGTGCCCCAGTGAAAGGGAAGAGTCCCCAGTCTGAGAAGCAAAACTGTACTTAGCATAACTAACAGCTCACCTTCCCTTCTAGGGAGCTCTCAAGTCAGCATGCTACACTGCCTCAGCCGTCTCACACACCGATAGTGAAACACACCAAGACGCTGCCACATGCGCGACACAGGCACGTATTTGCATGTCCTAAAGGCAATGTTTTTCCAGTGTTAGTCACAACGCATTAGTGGGTCACTAAATTATCTTAGGGACTCCAACCAACGTAGGTTTTCCATAACCAGAAGGAAATGGAAAAGGTAGAATGGAGTAGAGACTTTCAGAGTGCCTTGTGCACTCTCATGAAAAGTTGTTTTATAAATATGTAGCTATTGTTATATAGTATGTGAACATGCCAAAAGGATTTCTTATTGTGGGCTAAAGTTGAAAAAGTTTAAAAGATTGGGAAGACAACAATGACAGTTCAGAGTAAGGGATTTAGCATCGGACATATCAAAGTTCGATTCCTAATCCTGCTATCTATGTGCTCCATAATCTTGGTCATTTGCTTGTCCCTCTCTGCCTGTTCCCCCACTTGTGAAGTGGGGAGACTATACCACACAGTACCTTGGCATCCAGTGAACACTCAATGAGTAAGTGACAACTTTAAAAAGTCTCCTGTGAGGAACATCCAAATCTATGAGGCCTCAGGGCAGAAGTGGCAGCTCTAGGCCTCAGGGCACATGCATATCTGTAAGAGGAATCACAGGACATGTTTAGAAAGGACTCTCCCTTGCGTCCAAAAGCATGTTGTTGAGCTCTTGAATACCTGGGCTGGGGTCCTGCAATTATAGAAACAGCAGAAACTAAAAACCCTTTACGTTGGGCTAAAAAATGGGGACTTCTTTCTCAAAATAGGGCTCAGGCCTAAAAAATCCAGCTGTCTGAAGTTGCTGGCCAGCAACATCCATCCCAGCAGCGGGTGCCAACACTCAAGCCCCCAGAACTGCTGCCATGGTTTAGGCAGAGGTTTTCTGGCAGGACTGAGTTCTTCACTGTCCCTCCAGACTCGGTGACTTCCAAGGAGCTCATCTCCCACCCAGCACTACCTGCCTTCTCCATGGCGCAGGCAATCGTCAGCATCAACTTCAGTGATGTTGTCAAGGGAACGCTGTGGCCTCCTGCCATCCCTGTCCATCTCCACGTGGAAGGAGGGGCTAGGAAGGAGACTGGGCCTGAAGAAGTGAACAGGGGAAAACAGACACACACAGTGAGCCAGGGAGATAAAAACGCAATGCGGGCAAGAAATGGAGGAAAGCAGCAACAGGCAGAGAGACAAAAAGAAGCTGGGGGAAAAAATAAACAAACAGGCCAAACAACAAAGAGGAGGATTTTTAAAAGCAAACCAAAAAATGAGTGTAAAACAAAAAGGTAGGCGACAAAAGAAAAAAGAAATAATGAAAAAGCTATGAGGACAGGAGACCATCCCTAATTCCCAGCTTTGTTTACTGTTTCTGCAGAAGGAGCAGTGCCCAGGCCGCAGGGCAGGGCAGGGCAGGGAGAAAGGAACTGCGGCCCTCTGAACTCGTGTTCCTCCCCTCCTCCTGAGTCTGGTCTCCAGCCTGACTTCCAGCAGGGAAACTCAGGACACAGGCTCAGGGGCCTTTGGAGAAAGAGGCTCCAGAAGCTGTTACAGATTCCAGCTGGGCTGGAGACAAGCACACCCTGTTCTGCCCTCCACTGTCAGGTGCCACCTCGGGTGTTCCCTTCCCTGATCCCCTCCCTTAGAGACAAGGCTTCAGCTGCTTCTTACCCAGCAGACTCTGGTGCCTTGTCACTCTCAGAGAGCCCTGTTTGCCAGCTCCTTACATGCTCTACTCTGCATCAGACATATTTGAGGGCATTCAGATGCTTTTCTAGCGCCTGCATTTCAAAGAACTCAGGGAACAGGAGCAGAGACCTGTACCCATCTCCTGGCCTGGCCTCATGGGAATGTCTGCTTATTTGCAAAGGGAATCCTACCCTGCCTGTCTTCCAGTGCTTCCCCTTTCCTTGGGGGCTAGGAGAGGGTTTGGCCTGACACTCTCTACCTCTCTGAACCACTCCTGTCTTTTCAAGTTTCCAAATCACATGGAACAGGCACAGCAAGTGCTTGGAGAAGATGACCCAATACAGTCTCAGGCCATTTGTGAGGGGCTCAGGGCTGGACCACCTCCTTCCCACCTCTTATCCCAAAGTGTGAGGGTTTGAGTACATCATGACCTTTCAGCTAAAATGAGCAGGAGCCAAGCTTATTGTCACTTCTCAACACAAGCTCCTGCAGCAAACCAGCAGGGATGCTCCAGAGGGAGAAAGGGGGAGAAATGGGGGCTTCACAGTGAAGAAACCACCAGCCTCAGAAAACCTTGACTGCTGGGCCCATGGGGGCAGCCCCAGCACCTTGGGGGCAGCAAAGGGTCTTAATGGGCAGGCATTCTGTGCTGAAACCTCAGCGTCTGGGGCCTAGACAGAGAGCAGACAAAAGGGCAGGGAAGCCTGCACGTTGACCAGGTGGAGTTAAAAAGGCAATGAGGTGCAGAGCTAGGGCCTCTGCTGGACCTCTGGCCTGTAACCTGGGCCCAGAGTGGCTCCTTCCGATGCCATACCTACTGGCTGCCATGCTCACTACCCGAAATGTAAGATTTTCCCCTTAAAATACAGATTGAGGGCGTGAGGATCAGTCTGGCCGGCCAGCCTGGCTCAGGTGGTCATGAAGGGCAGCCTAAGTCACTCAAGGCTCCTGGACCTGCCTTTGAGGCAGAAATACAGAGCATCTTTGAGCACTCCTGCTCTGTCTGTGGGAAGGAGGGCAAAATGCTCAAAATAGAATAAAAACAAGGGTCAGGACTCAAAGGGGTCTCACTCCCTGTTTCTCTGGACTCTCTGTGGGGTGCCTGTGTGCAGGATTTCTGCAGAAGATAGTCCATTTTGTTAAGCCTTTGAATATTCAAATTGAAAGTACCGCGCAATCATTGATTGTCAAATCATGGGTTTCTAGAGGTTTTAAATACTTGGCATGAGGGGGAAAAAACTCAAACCTATACCCGAAGGTATAAAACATTAATTCTGTTTGTCTCCTGCTCCAGGAACCTGGATGCAGCTGGATGCTTTGTGAAACTTTAAAATGTTGCATCTCTGCTTCTCTCCTTGCACAGGAGCCCTCCTAGGCGCTGAGTCCCTGCAGCTGCAGCATCCAGCCACAGACCCAGCTTCTGCTGACCACCATGTCCGGTAACTCAGCTGCTTCTCCTGGGGTAGGGTCACGCGGGCCAGGGGCACTTTGATCTGGGTGTATTTCCACAGCTTTTCCTGCATAAAACAGAGAGGCACAAAGTCAGAGCATACAAGGATGTGCCGGGGATCCGGAGAGGGCACGGGCCACACTGTGGCCGCCCCCGCCCGGCCCCTGCGCCTGAGAGCAGGGCCCCAGACGCCTAGTTGGCTGGTGCCGCCGTCCGCGTACCCCGGCCCACCACGCTCCCTCCCACTTTGCCACAGTTGTGACCCGGGGACTTCGCGGCGCGGATTCTGCGCGCCCAAAAGCGGCGGCGGGGGGAGCTAGAGGCTCGCGGTGAGCCCGGGACGCGAGCAGGGCGTGCGGGGCGCGCAGAGCTGAACTGCGGCGGTCCCCGTGCGGACCCCGAGGCGCGCCCGCAGCCCGCGGAGCCGCGAACCCCGCGAGGAAATGGCAGGAGAGACTGGACCGCGGAGAGGACGCGGCCCCCAGGCCCTGCGGGCGGGGCGCAGGATCCCCCGGGTCTGGGCGACAAACAGAGCAACCTCCTTTCCTGGGGAGACCCCTAGCTCCCCGGACCTGGCCTGGGGGCTCCCTAATGTCCAGTTGCGGTCTCCTCAATGACCAGGCGAGGCGCTGGCGGCCTGGCACTGTCGCCAGGCGCCCAGGCTGGTCGCGCGAACGCCCCAAAGCGCGGGGACCGGCCCCTCCCCGAGCGATTCCCGGGCGCTCACTCCAAGGTGGTCAGAGTCGGCGCGCACGGGGCTCCCGCGGCCGCTCCCGAGCGGGAACGTGCGCCCGGCCCGGCGGGACCTGACTGCCCG